AAGACAAGGAAGACAAGGAATGTCATTAGGAACTGCTTATTACATACAAAAACTATGAAACTCTTAGATTTTCAAAAATAATCCTTTACAAACAAGCCCTACAGTGGAAGTCCAATCAGTATGAAATTTTTAGCTATTCTATTTGTATGTAGCATATATACAAAGGAGACAATTATCACTAGTTTTATTAGACTTCCTGATTTATCATAGATAAATTTATCATTTATACAGTAGTGTTCCCTGATAAATAACATCAGTACCTCAATCAGGATACTGACCTACTTTTATAGACTTTTATCATCTATACTAAGCCTCCAGACATTTTTGAAAGATATGGTCAGATTTATCGTATTATCATTGGAACTCCGAGAAATAGATGCTAGCAAAACAAATACTGTGCAACATACAGATTAGGATCACCCACTCTATGTGTCTCCAAAAACGTTATTTCCCATTTAACATAAAGAAATCACCCTGTGTATCTTGGATCAATCTTCTGTCACCATGGAGAAAGACAAGACTTTGTCTTTCATCTCTTAGCATGTATTTCCATTTCCATTTAGAAAACAACTTTAAAAGAAACTTCTTACTCCTCACCAACAGCTTCTTTTCTTCCAAGCAATTTTTACATTTTTGTTCTGTTTCATTTACTTTATTACATGAGGCCTACAAACAATTGCAGGACATCATTTATTATTATTTCACCATGGCTTTTGTAGATGAGAAAATGAGTATCAACTGTACCAGGTGGTAAGGGTCTTCACTTGCTAGAGACAAAAGTCACCTGAGGCTATGGCATACCAAAGAATAACTCTTTATTTTTCATATTGACAAGCTGCAAGTCTCTGCCTTTCAAGTGCAGACTGCAAAGAACGTACCACCTCTGGCTAACAATAACCATGTGCTACGCTATTTTCAGCTTCTGAGATTTTTATTCACATGTTTGTAACCTTAAAGGTCAGCATCTGTAATGTATCTTTATGTTCTAGAGATACACAGATGTTACTTCCTGTTCATGCTCCAAACCAACAAATTGAACTCAAAGTGACTCCAGTCTTGGAAGACAGCTCTTAAGACGCATCTCCCACTTTCCATTTCTGAGCCATTTAATATTAAATGACTCAGTTTATCCTCTAAAATGCTCAGATTTCTGCACAGATTAGCCACAGTCTGACACCTGTTTCATGGATCAAACACTGTAAGAGAAGATTGTAATTACTATCATGCGATATCATTTTGCTAATAACAATACATATGTGGCAGATGAAGTTCACTTCAGTTTCAGATAGCAAAAACTTCCTGGAAAATCCTTAAGTCCTTAAGCAAACGTAGCTATACTGTTTCCAGTAAGATACTGTTTCCTGAGCTAAGATAAAGGTGGGTCAGATCTGTTTACAGAAACCCTAGAGGCATTTTTGTATTGCAGAACAGAACCCCCCCTAGATGACTTTGTGTATAATGCATGCCATAACAATTATTTTCTCTAGCTAACACCATTTGCAGCTGGATCAGATCGTAATTTCTGAAATACAGATGCCAATGTTTCTTGACACTAACTCCAGACAACAGGGCTTCCATTGTAATGAAATGTTCTATAAAAACATTGAGACCAATTTTCAACATTGCTGAGTACCTTTAATTGGTACTGATTTGCATTGGGACTCAAGGTGTTAGCATATCTGGCATTGATTGTAAAGATCCTCTGTGTTAGTATTTCCTGTCCTCATGCAGAATTAAGTTTCTAAGTCCCCAGTTTAAATTCTCTCTTTCTTTATCCTCCCAAGCAAACTGGAGTGCTAACATCTGAATTTGGAGCCCACTTTAACCTACTGTAACACTTCCTTTTCCCTGCCTTGGGAATGTGTGTGATTTGTCACATCTTTTCCTTTGGCAAGCAAATGCAACTAACTCATTTGCATTCATTTGTTGTTTGTATCTGTTAGACCTGCTAACATTTTTTTCTTAACCTTTACAAGGCTCTTCCTCAGTCCTGGCCTAATTTTCTAACAGACCAAAATGTGGAGGCAGGCTATGGTTCAAGTCACTGTTGACTCAGAATCCCATTAAGAGAGCAGAGAAATTATTCTAGATAACTGGAAAGCCAAAATGTCACTTTCGGGTTGGGGTTTTTATTATTAAAATATAATAAATATTTATGTTGAAGCCTGGCCTTCAGGACCAGCCAGGATCTGAAGATCATGAAGTACAAACACATAAGAAAGTTGAGCTAACTGTTTATACAGCTATATAACCACTACTCCAGATTTCCTAATGAGAAGTTGTCCTCAACTTTAAAGAGTGCCTACACACAGCACACAAAAAACCTGTGCCTGGTTAGCTGACTTGGTGCCTCTATACTCGATGCCTCTATGACTCTATATACTTGGTATTTCTTTTTATCTTTGATTTCAGAAGCGTATCAAGGTTCTTCACATTTTTAAGCATTCTACCTATTTTTTATGTTTTAGGCTATTTTTTCTCTCTCATTACTACACTGTATATAATTCACCAGTGATATTAAGCTTCTCTGAGTCTATGTCAGGGCATCTATGGGTTTTTGTTGCTAAACGCTTTATATAACTCGGGAGTGAACTAACCCTCTTTAACAGTTCCTTCTATTACTCTTTGCTGTGCTCTTCTGTCTACATCCTGTTTGACTTAAGACACTTTCTTCAAATGTCCTGACACTTCTGTACTTAATTTTTCTTTCTAATGTCCCAAGAAGATGGGTGGTCCAGGCCATGTGCATCAGCAGCTTGTGCTGGAATGAGGGAAGTCAGGCAGCTGCACACTTTGAGACTCTCAGCCTTGGAGCAAGGCTGCCAAAGCTGTATCATATAGACATCAGAAAGAGTTCAAAGTATTTTAACAAAAACATGAACAGTGTGAAAATAAAGATTATGGAAGCATGGGAAACTCATGGAAGCATTTCCACACAGTCTGCTTTTTGAGGAAAGAAAAGTACATTTTGATTCTAAATGCTAATCTTTCCATCTTTCTAATGGAAGCTTGAACATGTTGTATGTATTGTAAATAACTTTACAATGAATCTAAAATAACCTGTGGCATTATCTATGCATTCATGAACATGTTCACCATACTCAAAATTTAAAACAATGTGCTCCCTATTCCAGGGAGTTTAGACGAGCAAAATGCAAGGGAAAACAATGAGGGGTGTGAGGCTAGCTAGAAGAAAAAGGCATTTTCTCAAAGATTTTAAAGTGAGTTCTTTCAAAGAACTCAGCATCTTTGATCTGTCTTTGTGGACTTTTTTAAATGCTGCCACTAGGTTGCAAATCTTTTAATTTCTAAATCTCTTTTAAGTTGTTTATAATGCTAAGAAACCGATTTCTAGCACTTCAAGAATGGTAAAACCAGAACAAATGTCATTCCTACTATTAAAAAGAAGTTATTCAGACTTGAAAATGTGTGTTTTTAAAAAGTCAATTTTTAATATAGAAGGAAATACTTTCTGAAATGTAAAAGGATGAATGCTAAAGGAACTGAGTGAATAATAATTAAAATGTAATTGGGGGGGTAGTTAATGTTATATATTTTATGAAAGTAAAAGCAATATAGTTGAAGTCCTATGATGAGACAGAACAGTAAGTTCTGCAGTATGACACTGATTTCTCATATGCATGAAGTTGTCATCCTCTCCATTGGATACTGGGTTTTGTTAGTGGCTGGTCTTTGACTTATTTAGCAAGACACTTAAACACACGTACAACTTAAACATGTGATGAATTACTTGCCTTATTCTAGCTTGTGATTAGAAGTTTGCCTAGGCATTTTCTTTCTGTGTAAAATGCATAACTTTCTACACCATACTGAAATCTGAATATACACAATGATTACTTTTATTCAATTTCCAGCCTTTTTGTTGAGGACTAGACTCAGGAAAAGAATAAAAAACTTCTCCAAACATGAGAGGTACTTTTGATGTGTTTCTTATTAGCACTACATTTTTTATTACTGTGAGTCTACAGGGTATTGTATTTATTTATTTTTTTATTAACAGAATCTCTTGTCAGGGACAATTCTAAGAGTCAATATATTTCTTCCAAATGCAACAAATTCCCTGAATAAAAGGCAAGATTGCAGCAGGAACTTTCACTTATTGGACATCAAACGATGCCTCATCTACAGAAAAGGAAGGCACAGAGAGTGGAAACCCCTTCCGTTTTAAGTCTGTCATACCTTACTGTAGTAAATTCTGCTCTGCTGTGATGGGCAGAAGGATTCTGCTGTCATTTGAAAAAAATAGAAAGGAAAATTCTCTTGTGTGGTGCAAATCTATGTTGCACATTCTACATTTTTCACACTAAATAGCAAGACAGCAAAAGCAGCAGAGATCTACTGCACAGGCTGCAGGAAAAGCATATGAGCCTTACCATGCTTTATCAGCACAGAGTAATGGTGCTGATTACTGCATATAAAACATTGTGCTCTCTGCTACATTTTTAAAGCAATACTTACTAAAACTATATTGAAAGAGATCTTAACACAGTTTCCTCTGTATGCTAATAAAATGAATAATATAAAGTCAAAGCATACAAATAGTAGCAGACTGCTAGATCTCCCTTTATCAAACTGGTATTTTAAGATTAGAAAATGTATTTATTATAGAAGCATGAATGTTTTATACCTAAACACAGCAAACAGCAAAATCCATAACAGTTTTGTAGCTAGTCCTAGCAATCAGAACAGAAATTACACAAAATGGATAAAAGGACAGTTTCCGGCTTAATTTATCTGTCTTGTGGGAGAGAGAAAACTGAAAGCCTCAAAAACGCAGTATAAGCAAAACAGCTTGGCTTATTGCCGAGGTCATGAGTTGTGCTATGTGAAAACTAGAGTAAGAAGCAACACAGTATTTTAAAAGACTGGTTGTGGCAGGCAAGGAGAAAGAAAACATTTATATTGAAACATTGTAATTCAAGGCAGTGAAATTATATCTGAACTATTTTATGATGATTTTAAATTATCACAATTTAATGAAGTTTTAGATTTCCAAACCCTCTTTATTAAGATTAATTTTGGGTTTTATTTTCAGGCCTCCCAAAAGATACAGACATTTTAATTACTTTTGCACAGAGCACAAACTCTGTATTAAAGCTGAATAGTAAAGTTCTTGGTCAGAAATGTGTTTGAATAGTGTCTGAATAGCCTCTATGGTAAGTTTTCTTCATGAGGTTTCTGCTATGTTTCCGTGTTCAGTGAAGTGTTTGCCCCAAAAGTAAAGGAAACAGCAGAACTGGCTCTGAACCCTGCACACAAGGCAGGACCTGCCAAGAACATCTAATGTGGAGGTCTGTGATGTTTAACCTGGCTCCCACAGTCACTATTTTGCTTTCCAGACTGTTTTCAACTTGACACATTGAAGATACCTTGCTAGTAATTCTTTCACTAGCAATTATTTTCTAGACCACAGTGTAGAGCAGTGCCTCTGCTAGAGCAAACATTCAGGACTTTTCACCATAAAATCTAGTTAATGGAAAACACAATTCTTACAAATTTAAGTGTTAAAAATACTTTTTTCCCCCAGTTTTCTCAGGCTTAATCATCCCGGAGCAAAAAAATATCTGCTTAATAACCATTCATTTCAGATTAGCTTCACAGCAGCCAAACTTCCTCTTTCTGATTCTCTCTTTCAAATGTCAGAATTGTCCAACTTAAGAATTACCTTTAATTTGTTACTGCCTACATCTGGGCTAATACTGTACTATACATGTTTCTAACATACTTTTTAACGACACAGCTTCATATCCATACAGGTTTTTGAATGGATTTTTATTGCTGCTTTTTTTATCAGGAAGCCTACATAAACAGTAAACACATCCTTCATTCTTTAATCATACATATACCGTATCTGAGATTCCGGTTCCAGAGATATCAAGGGATATCAATGACGACATATTTCCCAAGGCTTCAATTCCAGCATCAGTCACATTTTCACAGTGGCACAGATTTAGGTAGGTCAATTCATGACATCTAAATTAAATGAAGAAACAGAACTGTCAACTTTCTGTTTTTGTCACAGAAACGTAGTATAGCAAGTACATTTTTGTAATAACCCTTGCTAAGCTTTTTTCAGTGGGCCTGTGAAAATAACACTCTCAACTTTTGATACCTAACTTACACAGACACCTCCAAGGACTCCACTCATAATGCACAAATGTTTCAAATCATGAACAGCAACCAAATTAAATCAAAATATGGAAATCAAAGAGCTGTATTTCACCAAAATATTTTTTAAATTAGTTTGATGCTTGATTTTCCCACCATCTCCAAATCTCTAATATCTAGCAGAGGAACTTAATAGCTTGCTGCAATGACAGAATTCACGACCCTATGGCTGTACCCACACCCAGCTACAGCCATGCAAATAATGGTACGCAGCAAGAAAAGATATTGCCAGGTTCTGCAAATCAGCACTCACTGATCATACATGGAAAGCTGAATTTTACTGTGCAATTAAGCACCATAAACTGTATCTTCCCATTACCAAACCTGAACACCTAAGAAATGTGACTCCTCAAGTACTGCATCTATGCTCAGAGCCTTAGGGGCAACACTCCACCATTAAAACAGAGAAGGCATTCCCTGGCTAACCAGCAAGCACGGCTATGAGTATTCACAAGTACTGTTATGAAAACACGAACAGGGGCCTGCTGAGAGATCTAGAAAGGAGTGGAATAACTGACTCCAATGGTCTCTAGAGATTTATAAATTATCTTTTGATTGCCAATACCAACATTCTCAGGAACTGGAGCTGAAGAGGTGCCGCAATAGAGTGCTTTTTGTTGCTGCAGACATGAGTATTTTTTGAGTTTACAAAATATGACTTATACATACTAATCTTTTAATGCAGTTTTGTCAGTCAACCATCATTTAAGCACTATTCCCCCCACCCTAAAATTAAGTCTTATCAGGTTTCCATACTTATATTGATCAATTCCCCTTTATATAATGGATCATTTTTAAGAGATGCCAAAATGGATTAATAATTTATCTAGTACAATTTTCTATATAAAATTGGTTGTATAATTTTACAAATCTATTAACATATTAAGAACTTTAGAAACATTAGAACATTAGAAATATACTGCATATTAAATTTCTAAACATGCTGCAATTCTATTGCACTAGAAAAATACCATACTGGACTGTTACCTTTGTGCTATTTCTGTGACAGAAGCATCAGTGACATGAATACAATTAGTCAAATTCAGCTCTCTTAGCTTAGCTCCTGAAGAACCTTGTACAAATGGCATTACACCTTCATCACTGATTCTAAAAGAAAAATGTAGACAATATTTGTAACATGTATTTTTCCTACTCCATACAAGCCAATATACAAGTTGCATTCAGCAACTACCTTGTAGATAAGCAGAAATTAATAATGGTATTCTTTAAAGAGCCTTTTGAACCCCAAGAAGATTGATTAGAAAGATGCTGCTTTTTGGAACTGCTGAAAAACAGAACTTTCTGAAAAAAGTCTGTTGGAGTTTATGAGAACTTCCATTAGTTCCAACACTCAGATATGATAGCACTCCAAAAGACAGAGTTTGGAAAACATAACCTAGAAAGTATCAGAACCTGTTTAGACATTTCAGAGTAATATTTGTATTAACATCTTTGTTAATTTAAGGAACTGGATTAATTTAAAGGAAAATATATCTTCTAGTACAGAAGCAAAAGTCATACGTAGTGTATGTGTGCTGTTTTGTACACATAAGCGAATTAACCTGAGTTTCACTTAACTGCGTATCTCATACACAGCTAACATAATATACACAAAGGCTATAAAAATTAAGTATATAGAAAATCTTTCAGCCAAGTTGAGAGGGTTGGAGAACTGATGACAACTTGGGTGTTTCAATTCATTTCATATCTCTGGTATGTTTAACATTACTGTACACTTAGCTTCCCAATGCATTCCCAGTATTTCGTCTGTGTTCCCTGATTAATAAAAAATTAATCCCAGAATTCCGTAGGACAGAATCATATTTTGGCTTGTACAGTCTGTTGCAGCACAAAGAATCACTGCAAATCCCGAAGTCCCAGAAGCATATGGCTAAAGAATAGCACTCCTAATAAAATGATAGAATGATAGAATCATAGAATAGTTAGGGTTGGAAAGGACCTTAAGATCATCTAGTTCCACCCCCCCTGCCATGAGCAGGGACACCGCACACTAAACTATGTTGCCCAAGGCTCCGTCCAATCTGGCCTTGAACACCTCCAGGGTTGGAGCATTCACAACTTCCTTGGGTGACCTATTCCAGTGCCTCACCACCCTCACTGTGAAGAACTTCTTCCTTATATCTAAACTAAACTTCCCCTGTTCAAGTTTTAAGCCATTGCCCCTTGTCCTATCACTACAAACCCTAATGAAGAGTCCCTTGTAGGCCCCCTTCAGATACTGGAAGGCTGCTATGAGGTCTCCAAGCAGCTTCTCTTCTCCAGGCTGAACAGCCCCAACTTTCTCAGCCTGTCTTCATACGGGAGGTGCTCCAGCCCTCTTATCATCCTCATGGCCTCCTCTGGACTTGCTCCAACAGCTCCATGTCCTTTTTATGTTGAGGACACCAGAACCGGACACAATACTCCAAGTGAGGTCTCACAAGAGCAGAGTAGAGGGGCAGGATCACCTCCTTTGACCTGCTGGTCACGCTTCTTTTGATACAGCCCAGGATACGGTTGGTTTCTGGGCTGCAAGCACACACTGAAGCCTGCTCATGTTGAGTTTCTCATCGATCACCACCCCCAAGTCCTTCTCCGCCGGGCTGCTCTGAATCTCTTCTCCGCCCAGCCTGTAGCTGTGCCTGGGGTTGTGCCGACCCAGGTGTAGGACCTTGCACTTGTCTTGGTTAAACTTCATGAGGTTGGCATCAGCCCACCTCACAAGTGTGTCCAGGTCCCTCTGGGTGACATCCCTTCCCTCCAGCGTATCAACCCAGCCACACAGCTTGGTGTTATCAGCAAACTTGCTGAGGGCGCACTCAATTCCATAACCTGAACAGAGCCTCACTGTGTGACAACAAGCTACAGATGAAGCTATCACTCATAAAGTGTTAATCACTGCATCAATTAATAGTAGTTTTGGTGTTATTTCACAGTGCAGTTGTTTTTCGTTCAAGATAAACTTAATAAATATAGCTTCAGAAGAATTAATTTGTATAAAGTCTGTAAGGAATGCAGAGCCTGGCAATACAGTCAACTTAATTAAAAACCCCCAAGATATTCTGTAACCGCACTGGGCTTGAGGGCTGAAATAGCCACATTATCACTTTCTAAATAATTGTGCTGTGAATACACATACTAAGTTTCTCTAGTGAAAGGGACCCACGCTGGAGCAGTTCGTGAAGAACTGCAGCCTGTGGGAAAGACTCGCGTTGGAGACGTCCATGGAGGACTGTCTCCTGTGGAAGGGACCCCACACCAGAGCAGGGGAAGTGTGGGGAGTCCTTCCCTGAGGAGGAAGGAGCAGCAGAGATAATGTGTAATGAACTGACACAACCCCCAGTCCCTGTCCCCCTGCGCTGCTGGTGGGGAGGAAGTAGAGAATCTGGGAGTAAAGCTGAGCCCAGGAAGAAGGGAGGGGTGTGGAAAGGTGTTTTAAGATTTATTTTTTATTTTTCATTATCATTTGATTGGTGATAAATTAATTTCCACAAGTCACATCTGGTTTGCCTGTGACAGAAAATGGTGAGTGATCTCTCCCAGCCCTTATCTTGACCCATGAGCCTTTTGTTGTATTTTCTCTCCCCTGTCCAGCTGAGGAGGGGACTGATAGAGTGGCTTTGGTGTGCGTTTGGCCCACCACCCAAGTTTAGATGTGCTACAATCCATAGTTTTGTGAATGCGGAAACTTTTACAAGTGTCTGCAAAGCAGTAATAGAAGTAGAGAACTTCACAATAGCTTTACAACTGCTTAGAATGTTTTGTTAAGGTAATTCAAGAATTCTTTAGCAGTAGAGACAGTAGACATATGTGCAAACACACTCACAGATTTGGCTAACAGGCTGGAAAATCCAGCCTTCTAAATGTTAAACCAGAAAATGCAGGCAGCTGTCCCATCTGCCCAGCTGAACCACCACCATGATGTCATGGTATTACTCCAGCACTGCTCAGAGCGTCTACACGCAAAGTTATCAGATTTTTATACAGGCACAGCACCAACAGTCACAATAAGTACTTTTGCTACACATTGGAACAGAGTCTAAAACTTCCTATGGCAGCAGAAATTTTAAGATAAGCCACAATTCTGCTTCTTTGTATCATTTTATAGGTCTGTTGATTTTGAAACGTTCAGAGGTTTTGCTTTCAATGTTGCCTCTCACCCTTGACTCCATCACCATGCCACCAACAGGGAACAAGTGTGCAGCTGCCCTATCATTTGTCTTTGTTTCTACTGATACATGACACAGCAGAAGTGGAAGTCTTCGTATAAAATACATCCTTCCTCTACAACATGATTTACAGTGATGTCTTGGTAACTGTAAAAAATTGGCAGTTTTGTTTATATCTTAGTACTTGATCAAGTATTATTTCGATATTCACAAAATTAAACAATATACAAACTTTAATAGAGTTGTGGCATTGGAATTGTATTTCATCATAATTTTCATCTTCATAGCCACATTCCAGCACTAAAATATGACATGGCTATTGAGTAATATTATATTTACAGTAAAGTTTTTTGCTTGAACTGGAGTAATGAATGGATTTTTGAAAACATGATACAGGGAAAAAACTACTCGTAGAAAATACTCTTTTAAATATAAAGATACATGTGTTAAGATTCTAATAAGTTATTTTTTAAACTGAAAGATGTGTTAACAGGACTTATTATGAGCATAATTAACTTTACTAAAATTCCATTGCAGTCATTTACAGAGACCTGGATGTGATACAGTACCTTATGCAGTCTGCTACATTCAGTACAAGAATATGCTTCAGTAGTGAAATCATCTGAAGACCAGCATCTGTAATTTTCTGGCAATCAGCCATATGAATGTGCCTGATGTATGGGCAGCATTTACTCATCAGCTTGAAACTTAAATCAGTAATTTGGTTATTCCCTGTTGTAATATATGAAAACATAAGTTACACATCTGATATACATTAATGGCCTCATCCAAATACTCACTAAAAAAACTATTTCAAATTATCTGGATGAATTTTAAAAATACATCGTCCTAATAATTGTGTGGATTATTATACTAACCTTCAATGCTGACCTTCAGCAGTTTACATTCAGCAAGGGCTTCAAAAGTTGTATCAGAAAGATGTGGAGAGTCAAGGAAGACAACAGACGTTATCTGTTGGCATTTTTCAACCAGAGCCTTTGAAGGGAAAAAGGTGAACTAAAATATTCATATACCTATGCTGGCATGTAACAAAAGATGAGCAAATATTCCACATACAACACCAAATGTTACAATTTTAAACAGGTAGTTACAACCCATTTTAACAATAACTTCAGGCAGTGAGCAGTATATAAATTACTGAAATTCTCCATATATTTATTATGCTGGGAACACAAGGAAAAGAAGTTAAGTAACTGGAGACATGAAGTATGGCAGACACCTGAAACAGTGATCTGTTAACAATCTTTTTTGCAGAAGCCTGAAAAGTCTTTTTGATGGGCAAAATCAGTAGCAGAATGCTGTTCCCATACATTGTATTTGCTTTAACACTGAAAAAGCTGAAAAACTGGAAGACCATAATTCAGCCATACCTAAATAGCAAAACAAGACAAAATAATTGTAATTTTCTGAAAGTGATTGCAAGTGAGCATGATAAACATATTTAGGTTAACAGTTTTAAACATTTTCCTCTTAAATTGTATCTGCATAACTTTCTGTACAGTCAGTTGTGAGGATAACCCAGTCCCAACAGCAGGAAGTTTCTCAAAGTACTGATTTATTTTCAATTTCTTACTTGAATACATCCGTCTGTAAGAGTTGGCATTTGGTTGATCAGCAAATTCTGAATCCCAGTGCAGCCACTGGCAATATTTCTGAAGCCATCAACTGAAATCTAAGGAAGAAATGAAAGGGTTACATCTCAGCAAGCCTACAGTCAACACCATTTGTGGGAGTGGCAATGAATGTCATTGTCACGTCCTTCTACATTTGTTCTCCCAACTTTATGAGGGAAAATGGCAGATGCTCAAATCAGGTTTGAGCAAGGCTGGAATGTAGTTAAATATTTTCACTGTTTTTTTTCCAGATCCATAGTAAAATGCATGTTAAATTCAGATGGTTTGCTTTTTATTTTCAGGCTGGAGTGGCCTTTATAAATTGTTTTAAATATTTTATATTAAATGTCTTGGCCCTCCTTCACAGGAGATTGTGGCACTCTTTGCACTTTTTCCCTTGTGCAGAGGAGTGTCAGCACTAAAGGGCAACTGGCTACATGTCTGTCAAATGTGTTCTTAGGCTTGAAATGTGTGTGCAGGTCCCACATCCAGACGGGCAGAACATGGTGTGGCTCATGACACACACCCTGACACTCTTAGCACTGTGGATGCAAATAAGACATAGTTCAATGTCTTTTAAGCTCAGGACAAGTGTAGCATGAGAGTTTTACCTCCAGTGGGTCTGTAACAGCCTGCAAAATGACAAAGTGAAAACCCTTCCATCAAAATAGCTATAAGGAGTATTTTACAGGTCATTTTACATGACAATGTAAAACCCATCAACTACCCTCTGTCAGCTGCCCATGTTCAAGGTTAGGTCTGATATGGTACAGCTGTATAACCCTGGATCAGCTATATTGTAACAAGGAACTGAAGGAAAAAGAGCAAAATCTTGGGAGGCAGGAGGGAAGGTTGCAGCGAAGGGTTACACAGAAAGATAACCATCTTGTAACCACGAAGATGTCAGAGCATGTAGAGCCTGTTGGTGCACTCCAGGCTCTAACACCCCCTCCAACTGAGACATATCTGCTGCACAAAAGGACACCATGACTTTGGGAATGTGGGTGATGTGGGTAACGCAAATCTCACCCATCAGCATAGGTAGGTTGGATTTGCTCACCCCAAATAATTGCAAACCAACCAGTACTAGTGTAGAGCTGCTATGGCAAAGGCAATCCTCTTTTCAGCTGGTAGTGATCCCCAGAAGGTAAAACACTGGCATGGAAAGATGGGTGCTAGTTGTCAGGACAGAATATGCAGTGCAGCTGTCCAAATTCTACAGCTTTGTACTCCCTATTGGTATATGTAATGTAGGACAATGTAACCCTAACTGAAGTTTCGCCAGGCCAAAAACCTCCATTATTTATTGCGGAGATTAGCTTAAACTGTGAACATCATGCAAGCAGCTGCCTGAGGGAGGTACTGGACAATCTCCATTCTCTGCTGGTCAAGAAGCACTAATTGCTTTAACATGGCATGACTAATTCATTCAAGTAAGTTTGCCTAACCCTGCAACAGGCCTCCTCATTGTTGGCTCTCAAGCAGCTCAACAACAGAAGACAGCACATTTCTATAACATGCACCAAGTAGTTTAATATGTTAAATGAAACAAATCACTCCCTCCAAATTTCAGTTTGAGAGGTGAATTTCTGGTAATTGAGTCTTGTTCTTGTTCCATATACTACAGAGAGTAAACCATTCCCAAGAGAAGAGAGGGTAGTTACATCATACAGTTTGCTGTAATACATGGAAATAACACTGTTCATTAAAATCTGAACATGATGCCTTTTCAGAAGACTGGGGTTTTCACTCCTCTCAAAAATCAGCCACAGTTCGTTACGCAGTTTGAGTATGCTTTAGCTATTGTGACAGTAGGATTTCCCTCTGTAACTGCTGAACAGAGTTGCTATTAAGAGTAACTCTGCTCCTAAGGAATAGTCACTCAAAAGCTGAGATACTCCAGAAAATGTCATATTGAGCTTGTTCACACTGAAGAGGTTTTTTAAGACTCAGCTCAAATGCATGCACCAGTTGTAACCAACTGAAACTTACTCCTGTGGCTGCTAATTGGAGGAAAGTATGGGATTTAATGGGGCCTGCTGCCAGTTGTTCTCAGGATTTAAAGTTTTTGCCATGAACACATTGTTAAGAGTACCCATCTAATCTGGTGATCACAGTTAAGATACAGAGTGTAGGAATACAACATCCCTCATGTCTAGGCACCTAAAATTCAAATGCAAATACAATTAAAGGAGGGATCTTGGTTGTATTATGTTGCTTGTTGCTTTGGCCAAGATTTAAAAAAATATCACTGAAAAAGTCTAAATGCAGAATCAAGAGCTTGTTCTGATAATATATATATATAATTATAGAAGAGGATCCACAGTTTTGAGGACTTTAAAATCAGGGAACTGGGCAGGAAAAATGCTGAGTCAAAAAGGTGCCAATATTACTGATGGTGATTTAAAAACTAAACTGCAAATACTAAAGCCTTTGTTTACTCCACTGAGATTAGGAATATAACTGAGGTTCCTATATTAGACAGTTATGAAACTTGGGATCTCTGTATAGCAAAGAGCAAGAAAGATCCCAAGACAGGTCAGACCTGAAAAAGTCTGATCACCTCTGGGGAACTCTCTCCCTCTCTAATTGTTACACAGATAAATTAAGGTAAGTTTCGAGGCACTACCTTATGTTAGATGCCTAAAATTAAGTGAAATACCCATTCTCAAAAGGATAGATAGTAGGTAGCAGGTAATCAGATCAAATTCAACAACACTGGGACAGAAGTAGAATATCTGTTTCTGGAATTCACTAATGATTGCACAACATTACTGCAGTCTAAAGGACTTTTAATCTCTTTGCCTGGAAAAACACTGTTTGCTTAACATAGCCATCTGATACCGCAAATAGCAGCAATTCAGTGTTTTCCTCCATGCAAGCCAAAACCAATTATACTGAAGCAACTAATAATACCCCTGCACAGATTGTTTCAAATTTTTTTTCACTTGAACTGGTTTTTAACTTGAAGCCGGAAAATAGATCTCGGGCATCAGGTTGAGAAAGTTTCAGTGCAAAACGTGTGTTCAGGTAAGATTCGATTGAATCAGTCAACATTTAGATGCTGCTGCAATAACATATGTATTTGTCTTATTTTGCTTTATTCCTAGAACAATAAAATCTTAATCTTGAACTTCTTTTCTAAAGCCGCTATGGGTTATCTACGAAACATCAGTCATTCTTGAAGATAAGGTGAATAAATATTACATTTTTTGCACAGTTTAGTAAACAATTGCTTTCCTAACTCACTTGGAATTTCAGTTTTCAATAGATTGCCTCAAGACTGAATGGCTTGACCCAAGAGTCAATGTTAGGATACATATGGAATTTAATTTAATACTGCATTTGGTAAAATTCCACTTAAACCTCCTTCTTCAAGCCAGTTAGGAGGCAGGATGTTCTGAAGGTTATTATGAGTCTTTGATCCTGTAAAATTCTGCAAAACGGACTTTTCCTTCATGACTGGGTAAGATCATTTTATAAATGTATTATTTTTCTTGCATGAGCAGGATAAGAAGTCAGTACAATGATCATACGTAAAATATCGTTCCTTGTCTGCAATGAGTTTTCAGTCTAATAAGTAAATGACTGATTTGGTTTTTTTTCTTAACTGTATGCTAGTGTACTGTGATCTGAAATGAAAGTACGTCAAAATAAACATGGAGCAAACTACAGCTAAAGATTTGTCCCCATTAGACAATAAATATTGTGAAATAATGAAATGCTTCTAAGAATGTCAAAATTAACTTAATTTCATTTTTTATAGTTTCTTAATTCCAAAGAATGGGAACAGACAGAATTTTTACTTTCTACACATACAGTACTGCTTTAAAATTCCTTCTTTCTCCCGTTGAATCGATTGTATTTGTGGAATCCACCCTGGAAGGCAGAGTGCTGTCTGCAGCGCAGAAGGGATTTTGAAGAAACACTGTTCTATGATTCTAGTACTGTCAATGCACTGTGAGCGCAGAGACTTGAAATTCAGTGTTCAGAATTGAGGAAGTGTTCTTGTGGTGCACAAGGAGCTATCTTACTTTTCTGTTTTGTGTTTGTCAAGAATGATAAAACAAATCATGACATCCTTTCAGATGTTTGGCACATTACATTGGTGGTTTGCCTCCACATGCTATTTTTCTTTCAATTTTCCACTGTCCAAAAAAAGCTTATGTTAACTGCCTGTGTGACTTAAAGGTGTCTTCACTTACACAAGTTTGACTCAGGAAATGTAAACAATCAGTCTTCTTCTTTAATAAATAAAGAATGTGGCTCACAGTTTCTCCCCAAATTATGGCCCCTTTTTAAATAAGCCAACAGGATGCTGGGTTACATCAACAAGAGCAACACCAGCAGAGATAAAGAAGTCACTGCATGTGCTTGCCAAGCCACACCTGGAATACTGTGTGGTCCCCTCTATACCAAAAAGATGTGGACAGACTGGAGGGGGTCCAGAGAAGGGCCACAAAGATGATCCAAGGATTGGGAAGCCTGCCATGTGAGGAAAGGCTGAGAGAGGTGGGTTTGCTCAGCCTTGAGAAAAGAAGGCTCAGGGGAGACCTTATCACCATGTTCCAGTAAGCTTCTCTGACATCCCCACAAACATGTCAAGAACTGAAAGAGTCAAATTTACTTTTCCCAATGGCTTGTGATCTATCATCCAGCTGCTGTAAACTATAGCAATTGATAGACTGTTCAAACACATTTCAGGTCACAATAGTTCCAGTCTGAAAACCAGCCATAGATGCTGGCAACAAAAATAAAGAAAATGTCTTTTAAGATCTCCGTGTTTCTATTTAACTGAAAATATCTCTCACCAAACTGTTCTAGTTATATAATTTCAATCTAAAATGTCAGTAAATACATGCAATTGCTTTATATCCTTCTGTCTTCCCTTTTTTTTTGGTCTAATATCAGAAAATTCTCCACTTACACTGTTCACCTTCAGAAGCACAACAAAGAAATCTTATGCTTTCTAAGTAGTTCTCTGAGAATATGAAGGTGTAGCAGAACACCTTTTAAGCAGGACACAAGAGAATCTCAGTATTTTTATTAAAATATCTTGAAACTCCTTAATGAAGATAGTTACCACCCGCGTCACAACAACACAACCTCAATTACTGAGATTTAATGCAAAAAAACCCCATGCCTACAATTCAAACAGAATTATTACCATGCATTACTATAACAGTCAAAGGAAAAACTGCTTTGTTTTATTACAGTGGGCTAGAAAATGTGTACTTAATGCCCAGTTTTCTGCCTAACTATGTCTTAACAACCTGTTTAAAAGCCCTGGAACCCAAGTTGCTACTCACAGAATCATCAGCATAATGAACTGTTTTACAGATGGGCTTTCAAAATAGCTGTTCAAATCCTACAGTTGTAACGACATTAGTAGAACTCACGTAAAAAAAACCAACCCTGTGATGTTAAAATGAAGGGGTGAGGGGAAAGGAAGCATGAAGAAACAGAAATAATGTTCTATAAAAACACTTTTTAGCATAATTTAAATGTTTACATTATAGCTTCACTACATTTTTCTAATTCTGAATCATTAGCCTTAGAGAAGTTCCCTTTGGCTTAGTTCATCCAATGAAGGGGAAAAAAACCCCGAGAATTCTATCTTATTTAAGTGCTTTCTGCAACAGTGATGCAATTCGATGCTCTTTTTGGTTTTAACTGTTTACTCAAGTGCTCAGTCATAATCATTAAGCACTGTTCCAGAGCTGT